ATTTTATTCTATCATTCTGTATTCATTTCTCTACTAACTGTCGTCCGCAATTCCGTTCGCGCAGAACTAAAAAAAACTTAATTAACAGCCTATATGTTCTTTCAGGCTATGTTCTACTTATGCCAAATTTACGCCATATCAATGGCGCCGTATTGAAGATGCCTTGAAACAAACATCCATACATCTAAACATTTGCATTTATTATATTAGTAAGATTTGTGAGCAAAAGTTTGTGACTAATAAAATATACCTCGCATATCTCAATCATTCGTTTTCATTTAGATGCGAAATAGTAAAGATATATTCATATATTTTTTACAACATTACATGATACTTCCCACGTTACTGAAAAGGAAAACAGAAACGCGTATGATTAACGATCATGTTCAGATTGTTCAATGAGCAATTACAGTATTTTTTTCTATAGTATTAGTAGTTATATCTTACTAATATTATAAATGCGAATGTTTAGATGGATGGACGGATGGTTGTACTAAAGTAACTCCAGAACGACTGAACGGATCTCAATGAAATTTGACATAGTAGAACAAAGTCTGGAAGAACACTAATTAAGTTTTTTTTTAATTCCGGAAACGGAGGCTCGTGTCACAGCTAGTCTACAACGTAAAAATGTTTGTGTGTTTGTCCCCTCGATATTTCTAAACCAGAAGTACTATTTAGATGTAGTTTTTGATACAGTGTTTTAAGGATGTCCTTAAAATCGACACAAAATTAAAAAAAAAACTTTTTTATTTCATAAGGTAGCAAAACAGCGAGTGGCCACCAGAAATCGCTGATATAGCGAAGTGACCGTTGCCCATAGACATGCGCAATTGCATATGCGTTGCCTACCTTTAATCGACGAAGGAGAGGATGCACAGAAAGAAAATATATTCCCTTTCCATGCATCCTCTCATCCGGAAAGTCCACTTCCACTTCCCATCATTTCCTTATAAGAAAAAAGTTGGGAAGGGAAAGAGGAATTAATTTTCTATACATTACATGTATAAGTCTTTTCAAATATCTTCAGAATGCGCAGTGCCCGCTACAGCTAAAATTATCTTCAGAGCCGCCAAGATACCCGAAAAACATTGTAATACTGTCATAGTTGACATTATTTAACTTAATGCTTTTAACGTGATTTTTGACGTTTAGCATCGCAACTGGATTGGACCAGTTTAAAAATATTTACATAAACAACATTACTAAACACATCTCGTAGTTATCTATACGTTTTCCGTATTCGGTTACGATAGCAGCATCAACTTGAGACTCTGCCAACCCCATATAGGCTGACATTTATGTTAGACAAACTAGCATCGCTTGTTCAGCGTTAGCCCATAGATAATGTAAATAAGTTTCATTTTTTTATCGCTAGAATGTTTACTTGATATGCAAATAAATTTGACTTCGCTGTTTAATTCTGAATGAATATGTATTAACTAAGAAACCTGTCCGCGTTTGTAAGTCTATGTGGTTTTCAATGGGCTTTTTTATCGGAAATAATTTAAGATAAGTGTTGGATTAAAATATTCACAATTAACTAAGCCTATTATAACCTAAAGCTTTTGAATTTTATAATTTTTAAAAGAAAAACAAACATGTTATCTTGGGCAAAGAATCATCAAAAGTCGTTGATGTCTTTTGTATTATACGGAATAAATAAAGATTTGCATTTTAAACTTAAAAACTACTTTAACTCTAATAATTTCTTCTTTTATTAAATACCAGCTGCCGCCCCTGACTCTGTCCTCTTTGAATTAACTAACCCTCAATTTATACCTTATACGTTTTTTCAGTTTTTTTTTTGTAAATTTACTAATATTTCTTTTACCATTCCAACTAAGCTCTATGCTTGTGCTAGGATATGGTTTACGACAATAGTCAAATGACGGGATTCAAACCCCCGACCTCGTGATCGGAAATCCAAATAGCCTATATACGCTTAAAATGGACACTAAATTGTTCTACATGTGTACCTAATTATCCGGATCAATTGAGCTGTTCTCGAGATACCTTTTAACAATCATCCATCCATCCAAACATTCGCATTTATTACTAAGATTTATCTGGTTATGTTCAAGGATCTCTAACATTTTTATATCAATAACATCTTTTAACGAGATCTCTTTAAGGACATCTCTAGTACTATTATGATAACAATCTAGGTCTATGTAGGGCATTAACTTCACGCTGAGACGTGATTAGTAATATCCGTAGGTACGCTACAAAAACATGATCTACACGTATGCAAAATTATGTCTTGTACCATAGTATAAGACAAGATTTACCGTGCGTTTCCACTGGCAAACATGTATAAAAACATATCCGTGTCTGTGTTTAGCAAAGCGAATGAGAGGGTTTACATGCTTTTTACAATCGCCAGTGGAAACTTAAATTAACTTCGGTGTACTTAAACTGTATAAAGTCATGTTTTTTTTAAAGCAATGAATATTTTAATGATAAATTATTATGTTACCTATTCTTTGATAGTTAATTTAAAAGCTACAAGACTGTTTTTAAACGCCCTATTTTATGATTAAACTAGCTATCGCCCGTGACAGTCCGCGCGAAATTAAAATAATCTAAATTAGTAGCCTATGTGTTCTTCCAAGCTATGTTATACATCTATGCCAAATTTCAACGTGATCCATGCAGTCGTTCTGGAGACACTTTACAACAAACATCCATCTATCCATCCAAACATTCGAATTTATAATATATCCACAATAATAGCTCCTATCTTACCGGGACGGATGATTTTGTCATACTATAGCTTATATTTAGAAAATTATAGTCAAGACAACTACAGTACGGCGTGAATTTCGTGGCAATGATTTGCTATATGACTGAAATAGATGGAGAAAAAATTGTTATACTTTTTCATACTGTACTATTTTTATGTCCTGCATCAAAATGTCCATGCAAGTACTAAAGCTACTTGAAACTTATTTCTCGAATAGAGCTATGAAGCTCAAACTATTTTGACAAGGTTTATATATCTGTTAATTTATTTGTTTGTTAGTTATCCAGCAGTTTGCTTGGACATTTTAAAACAAGCCTATTCCTTCAAAAGGTGATAATTACTATCCATCTGACGAACACCGTCATATGCTGGCTATAAATTCTTTGTCTATAGAATTATAATGTGAAATATTAATCGTGCTATTATTAAATACAAAGTTAAATTAAAACGCCCAGGAACTATATAAGCTGTTCATTTATCACTTTTAGATTATCGATAACTTTGAATATTAAACACATGGAGAAGTAAACATGTTTTTGTTCTCCTAACACTTGTACCCTATAATAAGTGTCGTATATTAGACATAAATGTAGGTTCCCACAGCCCGAATATCTATATAAAATATCTTGCCATCTCTCTTTTTATCTAAGAGTATAAGAAAGATGGCAATATATTTTTTTACAAATGTATCGTCAGTGGAAATTCACGCTAAGTAATTTTATGGTAAATTAACAAAGGCTGGAATAACTATTAACACACTTCGATAGTGTTTGTAATTTTATTTTATGATACCTATAAAAATGTCAACTAAATCATTCGTCTGTCATTTTCTGTTTTAAAAAATAAAACTACTCCGCTCCTGCTTGTTCCGAACACATCGGTTAATTGTGCTATACATTTAATTAAGTACAACACCCCGCTGCGCCCGTCACGCCGCCCCGCCGCTCTGCCGTCACTCGTCGCAAATTTTGTGCCCGCGCCCTTAAAGACGCAGTTTGACTTTTAAATTGTCTGGACTGACACTAACTGTAAACATATAGACTGTATACAATTATGAGTTATTAATTCAAGTCTTATTTTACTTTTTAAAATTCAAGAATGAAGAGGCACTGGAAGAAGAAACATGACTAAGTTTTTAATTCGATCTTTATAATACTATAAACGCGAATGTTCAGATGGATGGATGTTTGTTAGGCGATATCTCCAGAACAACTGTTTAAATTATGTTGAAATTTTGAATAGTTGTAGAACATAGTCTGGAAGAACACATAGGCTACTTATTAAGGTTTTATTTCCGCGCGGACGTAGCGATAGCTAGTGTTCTATAAGGTTAATACAACACTGGTATAGTGTGTGCACGCCCTAATTTCAGTTCGCGTGCCAACTGCATCTAAATCAAGCGTACGTATGAATCTATCTCAGATTGGAGATCACAGACAGACATCGACACTCCGGCATCATTTGTTAATTTTTTAACTGATACACTCTTTATAGTTATATTGATGGCTACAAATCATACTGATATTATAAATGCGAATGTTTAGATGGATAGATGTTTGTTGGAAAGTATCTCGAGAACGGCTGCATGGATCTTGCTCAAATTTGGTACAGATGTAGAACAGACTGTGGAAGAACACATATTCTACTTATTAAGTTTCTTTAATTCCAAGCGGACGGAGTCGCGGGCGACAGCACTTCATAAAATATACTGTCAAAACTTACCTAATTTTATAAACAAACTGTTACTTTAAGGATCATAAGTATTAACAAGGTTCGAATAGATTTTGAAAACATACGAATAACTATAGTTTAATTCAAAATGTCTATCCGCAAGTTTGAATATATGAAACAGACATGTGAATGAATCGTGCCTCAAAGTAATTAATCAAGCCTTAACAAAAGATAAAAAACAAAGAAGTCATAATATTTATGTGAACATTTTGTACGAAGTATTTTACATGTAAGGGTGTGCGAATATTATTCGAATCAAAAGAATCGAATCAAATTATTCGATTCGTAATTTGAATCGAATTATTCACGAATGCTAAAATTAATACCAAAATCTTTCTCGAAACGTTGAGATTAAAAGATGACTCTGAAATCCATTAAATATTAGGGGTGTGCAAATATCTTATGAATAATTAGCACACCCCTAATTTACTATAAATAAAAATTAAATCAAGTATTTAATTAAAGTGAAAAGTTTAACGAAACGTTTTTAAATCGCACCTGACTTTAACCAGAATAAGTTGAAATATGAGGGTAGTTTATTAACATATCTTAGTGTTGTTGACGAGCGTCGTAGTTATTTAGTCAATATTAATGTGTACAGTGTTTGTTGAAATTATGGATAGATATGTTTTTGATAAAAAATCTGTAAGTGTTTATTTTCTATGATACCTGTGCCTATATAAAATAATCAACGTTTATCTCGTAAACTTACTATACATTTTTTTGTTTATTTATCAGATTAACTCAGTTTGAAATTAACATTATTACGTACACATTGGTACAAAATTATGTATATTAATTGAATTTCCGAACAATTAATTGCCATAAACTTTATTAAACAGAAAAACGTATTATAAACATTAAAAAATCACAAAACATAATTTAGCTATGTTATATGACTATAGCTTTTCATACAATAATATATAACATTGCAAAAATTATCCTTAGTTAAGTTTTTATTAAAATACTATAGGTTATGTTTTAAGAATATAAGAATTCGATTAATGTTAGGCAACTGAAATTGTGAATGTCTATGGGCAGCGGTCACTTCGCTATTTCGGCAACTTCAAGTAGCAACTGGCTCGTTTACCACCTTATAATATTTAAAAGAAAACAATATAAAACAACACTTTTTTAATGTGTTATATGCATATTACAGTGTAACACGAGGCGGCGGCAGAGTGACAGGTTCGTACCAGCACGAGAAGCTGTTGAGGAAAAGCGCAGGCGCAACTCGTGGCCAAGACCTACTAAAAGCTGCGACCTTTGGGTAAGTTACCTCGATGGATTTATATTTTCACTATATTTGACTATAAATGGGGATAATCCTCTATCTTGTAAATCTAACTCCTAAATTTAACTTAGACATTAAAATGTTTCCAATGTCGTAGGTAACTGAGGATTACAAGTACATTTTCACTAATACATATTGTTGTCTCTCTTTTGTTAAAGTTAATGTAAGGGATGACAATATGTGGTACTTATAGTTAAGCGTAGTGGATGTTTGAGGTAATATAATTATGTACTTGGTTAATGATGATAAGATAATATAGTGTTTAAAGGCCGTCATAGACGGACAGCTTTAAGCAGTCGGCAGCATGTTTTATCGGCGTCAGAAAACTGTTGACCGTGTATAGCGAACCATGCTGCTTGTAACTACCACACTCCACCGTTTAAAGTAGACTGCTTATGCTGATACTATGTTTGCGATGCTTATGTTTTTATATTAACTTCTACTTAGGAATTAAGTCAAAGAAATACCCAATGTGTTTTACAGGATAGTAAATACTTACAACAGAAGAAACACGCTGTTCTTCTCTACGGCGTGTTAGGGTTTGATGATGAGTTAAATAAATATGAGAAGCAAATGATCCCAGCGTGGCCGTGTGTACCGCGACAGAGGAAATATCTCGCTCCGGCTGACAGCATCCTAGACCTGCCTCGCTACGGTGAGGCTGACTGTAAGTAACTAAATACAAGTTGGTAAAAGAATGACATTTTAAACTAGTTACTTAGGTGTCCCTGTCATTTATATGTTTGTCCGTGTCATACACCAGCATCGGAATTATTTGGTTCGTAACTGCATACATTGAGCGTTAGTGGCTCAGGGGTTAAAGCACTTTACTTGTAATCTGCAGGTCCTGGGTTCGAATCCCGCCATCTAACAATGTGTTTTTCGATTTTCGATTTACATATGTACATTTATCCGACGTTCTTATGGTGAAGGAAAACATCGTGGTGCAACCTGCACATATCTGAGAAGAAATTCAAAGATATGTATGAAGTCAACCAACCAGCATTGGGTCAGCGTGGTTGACTATGGCCTAATCACCCCTAACTTAGGGTAGGCTTCGAGCCCCTTGGTAGGGATGTATTGTGAGCTGATGAACTGCATGCACTGAGTTACTTTTGGGCTATTTTTTGCGTCATTTTCTTTGTTTTTGTAGAATAAAATTATGTTATTTTTTTGGTTTTATGATAAAGAACGAGATATGAAAGCTTCTATTTATTTTGCCCTATTATATATACTTATTGAGATATGATGATGAAAATTTATAGCAAAATTATCAAAATGGATGTTATTCATTACGACCTTCTTGTAGATAAGGGTAACATCTACTAATTGCTATCAATATCTAGCCTGATAAATATATTAACATTCGATAACGTATGTTACGAAAACATCGGACAAACAAACTACACTTCGTATTGACATTAAGAATTTAAAGATTAAAATACTCGCTGCGGACTAATGTGTACATTAATTTAATAGCCTACAGCACCTGTTGTAAGATAATTTTATAGACAAAATACATATTAAACCAAAAATTCCTTGTAATTGTAAGTGTACAGGTGAATTAAGATTTTTTATATTGAATAAGCACTTGACAACGATCTGATTAAGTGATACGGTCGAAAGATTGTACGTGCTAGCTTAATAAATGTTCAGTCTTGAAGACCCGTCATTCTTGGATGGAAAGACAGACGAAGGTAACTTGGTCCAATCCTTTGCAGTACGCACAAGGAACGATGAATCAAAGTTTTTCATTCGAACTCGTACGTCTACTTAATCAGGTCTAGGAAAATAAAAAAAATAGTCTACTTTTTTAAATTAACGCATCGTTAATATAATAAATATTAGATTATTAGATTAATAGAATTAGACCTTTAAATTACAACTAATTATGACATTTAATTTAGTTAATTTATTTTTTCAGCAAAACTTTTAAAAAGTGTTAAACGTTTTACACTTAAGTAGTTTTCGAATCAAATGACTACATTTTTCGTGTTAATTTTAGTTCCAGAACTTCTTGATTGGGGCAGTGATAATGTGCTTGTGGCAGCCCTAGGACATATTTACCATAAATGGAGCTGGAAAACGCAGGACATAATACAGCAATCGACAACATCCAACCAAACGATGTGTTGCAAGTTCCATCCCAGAGCTGAATATCTAGCGGTTAGTTATCAATATTTAAAAAAAAACGCACAACCAAACAAAAAAATTAAGATAGTTTTTTTAAACATTATATACTTTAAAATAGTGGTGAAATAAATTGAAGTTTACTATGAATACCAGGCCCATTTTATATACCAACTATTTGTTGCACGGGATTCCGTCAGCGTGAAATTAAAAAAAAAAAACTTAATTAGTAGCTTATGAATTCTTCGAGACTGTGTTCTACGTCTATGCCAAATTTCATTAAGATCCGTTGAGCTGTTCCAAAGATACCTTCTAACAAACATCAATCTAAACATTCGCATTTATAACTTTAATAAGATTAACTTATGTAATCATATAAGTTTGTTCATAATTTTCAGTTGGGAACGACTGGTAGACGAGCTGAAATTCACGATAACGAACTTTCGAAATGCATAAGCAACAGTTACTGTGATTGCGATATACTTTTAGGGAAAAACTACAACTGCGCAATAACAGCCTTCGAATGGAGTCCGACTGGCCAGTCTTATGTTATGCAAGTATACAAGATTTTTTTCAAATCTCTTATGTTAAATGAAATAACTAAATACCTACATAAGGAAATTAGCTGTTGCCAGCGACACAGTCCGCGCGGAATTAAAAAACTTAATAAGTAGCCTATGTGTCCTTCCAGACTGTGTTCTACATCTGTACTAAATTTTATCAAGATCCGTTGAGCTGTTCCAGAGATATCTTCTAACAAACATCCATATATCCATCAATCTAAACATTGGCATTTATAATATTAGTAAGAAGTAAGATAAAATCGACGAAGTATATTAAATGCTTAACCCTTTTACTGATGGTGGCAATATGTGTGCCACCAACATTTTTATGATTTTTTCCACTTTGTAGTACCAATACCTTAAAACTTAGTGACGCTATTTCACCAACTGCAAGAGGAAAATCCATGAATAGAATTTAACAGAGCTCATACTGGTGTTGGCAAGGATATTGCCACCATGTTTTTTTTTTCTTCCACTAAATATTTTTTTTTTTTTTAATAAAAGTTATTAAAGTACCCACAATAAACCAAACCAAAGGAATTTTTATTTTTCCGAGACACAAAATTACTTCTACTAGTTAAAGGGTTAAGCCATTTCGTCTTTGCTTGAATAAATATGAATTTTATTATACCCCGAACTGACGAAAATCTCTATCACACGACATTGTCTGCCGCCTATTAGCTTTCATGTGGATAAAACCTTTATATTTGTCATCATCATCATCATCAGCTCACTGCATGTCCCCACCGAGGGGCTCGGAGCCTACCCTAAGTTAAGGGTGATTAGGCCCATTTATATTTGTGGTTATTGTTAAACAGTAAATATGTTATTTAATCCATTACTTACATTTCCAGGGGCTGTTCCGAGGGGAGGATAAGATCCTTTACTATCAATAACAGACCAATGTCGCAAAGAAGAATGGCAAAAGTAGCTATATCATTACTAAGAATATCCCCCGACGCTAGATTCCTAGCCGTGACGTCAGTCTTACAAGATGATATTTACCTTCTATGCTGGCCCTCCTTTGAATTATATTCCACACTGGTGTCTCCTAATTGGACTGTTAAAGTAAATTAACATTTTCTAACTCACACATACATTTATTGACTTACTAGCTGTCGTCCGCGACTCCGTTCGCGGAAAATTAAAATAATATGTAGTCTATGTCTTATTTCATCGAGATCCGTTCAGCCGTATAGAGATACCTTCAAACAAACATCCATCCATCCACATTCGCATTTATAACATTAGTATATATAACAACATTTATAACAACATTCGCATTTATAACATTAGTAAGATTCAAGCCAAAGAGAGTATAGTGAAATAAGAAGAGCGCACAAACACGACTTTTAGTACAAACACGATAAAGTCACTATACTGTCACATCTATAGTTTATATTGTAGACGCTAAAGCGTAACAAGTGTATGCAATCCTATAAAGTGGTCACCAAACGATTTCACATATTTAATCTAGAATTAAACACACCTGTGTTTTCACCAACTGTTTTCATTTTCAGGCAATAAACTGGCATCCGTGGCGCAGCGCTCTATTAGGCGTTGGGACGGTTACGAAAGACATTCACGCACGAATCGTCATGTGGGATGTACCTGCCGGCAGGATCGCAGAGTATGGCCTCAGCGACAAAAACTATTACCTCGACACCATGCGATTTAATCATAGAAGTGGAGAACTCGTTGTTAGCTTATACAACCCTAATGGTATGATATTTTATTTATTTCAAACTAGCTATCGCCTGCGACCCCGTTCGCGTGGAATGGAAAAAAGAAACTTAATCAGTTCCCGGAAATTTTTCTCGCCTTTTAAACTTTCCATAGACCGCAACGAACATTTCAAGATCAAGATAAAATAAATCCGTTCAGCCGTTCTCGAGTTTCAGCGAGACTAACGAATAGCAATTGATTTTTATATTTTATGTATTAATTAGAATCCTTTGGCGCGAATGGCGCGCTTTTTTTATAAAGTCCAGTGTCAGAATGATTAGTGAGGGAACATAAACGTCGACATTTTGGTAAGGCTAGTGTTGCGCCAGTACACTGGCACAGTGTCGGATTTTATTCCTAACAATATATAGATAAATACATTGTAGATATGTTTTAAAGATACCGAATAACTCACATAAAAATGCTTAAATACCTGGCATATTCTCTCCATGGTGTGGTCTTTTGAATCTTCCATACTCTGCGGCACCGCACCACTCGTGTGGCATCTTCCTTAGAAACATCACTGAATCGTAATTAGAACTAGAAGTTTCTTTGTAGTGGCAAACGGAAATTCACAACTGGTGGTGTTGAGTGATCACGACAAGGCAGTAGACCACTGGGGCGACGGCAGGAAGTTTCCAGATCGAGTCCGGTACATGATCTTCAATCCTGATGGGACATTGCTAGGTATTTTTCCACAATTTTCTTTTAATGTTCTAATTACAATTTAAGATTTTTTTATTTTTTGAAATAATTCAAGAAAATATTAACTTTTAAATGACGACCAATGTATGTACATATGTTTTAAGATTCGAATAAGAATTTACATTTTAATATGGTTAAGTAAATTACTTAATTTCTTAACTAATTATAGGCTTTTATTTAACTCGGGTGGAATCTTACAACTTAAAAACTGAATACAAAGTATTTTTTTTATTTCAGCTTCAGCGACTTCAGATGAGGACTTAATAATATGGAAATTTCTTCCAGAAGATAAAAAAAAGAAAATTAAAAACAAAAGTTTCTCAACAATGCCAGTATATCTAGATGTTACAAGTATGGGTTTCTCGTTTAGATAAATAAATTTTATTATCATGTTAGTTGTTTACAGTCGAACCTGAATAAGCGAGAACTTTATAAGAGAGAAAACTTTATAAGCGAAAGTCATTGTCCGGTCCTGACGGGTGACTTCCATTAGCGAGAAACTATGGTTAGGGACACCTCTATTAACGTGAAAAATCTTGCGGTCCCTACGATTCTCGCTTATTCAGGTTTAACTGTATGTACGTTTGTTTTAAATGCATGTAAATTTTTATTAACTTATTGGTTGGAAATAAAATTTGCAACTATAAAATTACGATTGTTTTTAAAATAAGAAAAAGATACCTTAAAGCCATGAAGGAAATCGGAAACTTTCTACTTAGGAGAATACTTAAGTAATGAAAAAGTAATATTAGGAATAATAAACAAGTAAATCGATAAATATAATTGTCATGTTATATTATCTGCCAGATCAGTAATTTTATACTAAGGCTAGCTGTGGTAGAGCCCGCTTTGACATCTTCGCACGAATTAGCCCGATTCGCCCGTTGAAATACCACGACCACACAGAAGACAGGCGTCAAGTGGAAGCAATTCCGCCTACAGTCTAAAGAGTGTGCGTCCCGGAGGCCTAATTTAGTCCTCTTTCCCTTCCTACCCTTTTTCTTATAAGGAAAGGAATGGAAGTGGACTTTCCGGATGAGAGGATGCATGGAAAGGAAAAATGTTTTCTTTCTGTGCATCCTCTCCTCCGTCTATTAAAAATAGGCAACGCAATAAGTATAAGTAAGTGACCGTTGCCCATAGACACACGCAATTGCGCGTGTCTATGGGCAACGATCACTTCGCTATTTCAGCGCTTTCAGGTGGCCGGACGCTCGTTTGCCACTTTATGATATAAAAAAATCTACCGCCCGCGACTTCGTCTGCGCGGAATTAAAAAAAATATTTGGTCTCAGCTTAATGTTATATAACCCAAAGCCTTTTTTTATAAATAGACTATCCAACAAAAAAAAATCAAATCGCACCAATAGTTCCTGAGATTAGTGCGTTTAAACAAACAAACTCTTCCGCTTTATAATATTAGTATAGATAAATTCAGATAACTGCAATTAATTTGCATAATCAAAAATTAAAAATGACAAACTGATAAACAAAAAATGAATTAAATCAAAATCATCTTATTTACTATACAAATATTGCAACAGTATAAGTATAGTGTATATTAAATGGGCGAGATGTATGAACGTTATTCGTGATCGGAAACAATGAGAGTATAAATTAGCAAGGCGCTTATTGCGACGTCCTACACACTGACGATTCAATGAAGCGGACAGACCATCGATATGTTACGGTCACATTTGCTAGTTCTCACGTATATTATCCATTGAGTTTACATTGTCGACACATTTATACATGTGTACAAACTGTCATTACTTTCGTTTTCATCTTGAGTAGAAAAAAGATAAGATTATAGTTTCAAGTCTTTTAATAACATAGTAAATCTAACTCATATTATAAAAGCGAATGTTTAGATGGATGTATGTTTGTTTGAACGTATCTCCAGAACAGTTGAACGGATCTCGATAAAATTTGGCATACTTATTTACCATAGTCTGAAAGAACACATAGGCTACTAATTATCTTTTTATTTAATTTCACGACATCTAGTGTATTTTTAATCATGCTTGTTGAATCGTAAGTTGCAATTACCTTCGCTCTATTTGTGAATTAATATTTTTTTTTTATATTAAATGCTACAGTTTAATTATCATAAACAAACAATAATTTTATTTGCTATTACATTTAACTTTAATTCCATAGACAAAGCAATTCAGATCGCCTTTGTAATATTGTTCTATCCAGAGGTTCCCAAACTTTTTTCTTGCCTTTATAAAGTTCAATGGTGTCATTAAATCTTCCCCCACCCACCGCTGACTGCTACTAGATTACTTTTATAACTTGAACGTTTAATTTTATTTCTTATCATTTTACAATGAAGGAAAACATCGTGATGCAACCTGCGAATATCTGGGAAGAAATTCAAAAGATATGTGTGAAGTCTACCAACCCGCACTGGGCCAGCTTGGTTAACTATAGCCTGAGCCCCTCAGTGGTGATAGTGAGCTAATGATGATAAACCCTGTTGGACCCCAAGTCGAACACTTTGAGAAACAATGTTCTGTTCGATCTGAACTGTTCAAGTACGTAATCTTGGTAACAATCTGATGGGTACGACCTTCTGTTTTATAGTCTCAAATTGTTAGCTCTGGAATTGAGTGCGGGCAATCATAGTCAGCGTTAAACGTTTAACTCAGATTGAATGCTTACTTTCAACTACCGTCATTGTAACATATTTCTAATATTTGACCTTTAACAGAACAGTTTATTTAACTTGCTATTTTTAAAGATAATTTGTATTTTTTTTTAATACGGCATCAAGAAATAAAGTGAAATATTATGCCAATAAGGGGTAAACTTATCTGAGTATAATTCCGTTTGACAGCTAAAATTTATGGCAATAACCACTAGATGGCGCTGCTACTAAATAACGCATCATAGGATATTCTTTCATCTATTCGTAGTACGTGTAATCTAGTGAAATTCGCAATACAGCTTCATAAAATTTGTTATGGAACATTAACAAGCTTTTAACATTACACGCTGAAGCTTTTTGTGAATTTTCGCAACTAAAATAATTCTGTATTACAATTCCTTTACATAAAACTTAATGTTTAAATACACCAGGTAATAAAATAACAGACAACGTTATCATTTAAACAAAGGGAACAGAGATCGTCGATTCTGGAACATAATAAAGATGCAAAATGTAGTCGTTTCAACATCGCACCGCGTTAGTTATAACAATAAAGTTTGAGATAACGTCGACAGAGCAAAGCGATGCGATACAATAACTGAAATGATGCAATAGGTAAACTTTTATTACCAATATCAGAAAACAATGATTGATTAATCTACCATCACATTTATAATTGTCAACATCTTCATCAGTTCGTGCCACTTCACTATTGGACATATGGATATATGTAAAATCTTTATACTGTTTTTTAATAGAAATTGCGCGAAAGGATGAACGCAAAAGCCAAAGTTACAGTTAATTTGAAGTCGATGTGCTTAAAGCTATTTAAAAAAAACATTTTTGATTACGTTCGAATTTCGAATAATTTTTTAATTACCACTTATTAGTGGCCGGTCATTTTTCAAAATTCGAACGTAATTATTATTTTGTTATTTCTTCTCTATTTTACTGACTGGATTTTCGATTAGAGACCTATGACGTCACAAAATGGCGTTCGCTTATACGCAGTCTAATTTAAAACGCAGTATATCAAGAAATAAAAAAACATTTTCATAATGTCTTAATATCGTTCTTCGTAGAGGCAACTTGTTCATATAAAAGACATAAACGATTATGCGACGGTATAGTTTATAAGACGTAAATGTTTAAATAGTACAAGTACAAAGTTGCGTATAATTTCCATAGACAATTTCTTTGTAAAATAACACCTGATATTAATGTACTAAAATGTATCGATCGTTTATTCACAAATAATACGTAATTAAATGCAACGGTGAAACTAAATTAACATCTCAAAAGTGAAATGCCACATTCACAATTTATCATCATAACCTTCTCAAAAATTAAAAATTCTTAACAAAAATTCCCTTACATTTATCGCCTTAACAGCAATTACTCAAATATTACATACACTTCGAAAATATATCCAACAATATCAAATTACAGCTTTCTGAACGCAATTAATACAAAGCAACACTTATTACAACTTTTTCATCAATTTTTTTTGTTCAATTATACGCATATTTGTTAAGGAAAGTCTTGAAAGTTAAAACTAGTAACCGTTACATTAATTGGCTATCGTTATTAATAATTACTCAAAAATATCAACATGTGTTTCCAAAAGATACAAAAATAAATTGCAATAAAGAGCGAGTTAATTTAAACGGGGCCGGTCATGTTGGTTTTGCGCGGGAAAGATACAATGATGTGTGTATAGGGGGCGTTACTATGACCTTTGCCTAACGTTTCACACGAAGGTAGAACAGTGGTATAGGAGTATAATAGTACTCTGTTCACGGTAAGTACGTTTTAACAATAGAATTACTGCACTGTACTTCTGCAACAAATTGATCTTCTACCCTTGTGTGAAAGATGCCAGTATATTAAGATATTATTATCGTCGCGTCAACAGAAAATTACATTGACGTTGGAAAATTAAATGATGTATATAATAATTAACGTCTCTTTACATTTGAAATAGTCCACTGATTTCATAGCTATAGTGCAAAAAAATCTTACAAAATTGACATAGAAATAATGCGTTAGAAGCGAGTAGTCTTACTAATATTGTAATTGAGATTGTTTAGGTGGATGGATGGCTTTTGTTTGAAGGTACCAACAAAAGACTGAACGGATTTCGATGAAATTTGGCATACATATAGAACATAGTCTGGATAAATACATTGGGGCCACTTATTATGTTTTTTTTTATTCACTCACACGGAGTCACGGGTGTTAGCTAGTTTTTAATAATTTACATATACACCGTTGCATGTTTATATATTTCTTAATTTGTTATATAATCTACTTGTTATAGAAACTTTGAACTTCTAGTTTGTTACGTTTTTTTATTCTCTTGTACATTATTTGAAATTAAAAAAACTGTCGCCTGTTTAACCTTCATTAGACCTTTGATTCTCGAACTTTAGTTGTCAAATCACCAATCCGGAAACAAGTGAATCTCAATATAGTGCAGGCGACTTTGATCTTTGTTACTATAGCCGGTGGTTTACAGTTAATATCAAAATTGCATGGCTATAATCTGGTCTGCATTGAGCGCGCTTCAATGTATCTATCGACGTGCACCTTACATACATACTGTGGACATAGCCGCGGCTCACGATCTGTCCTTGCAATAACTCTCGTAATTGACGTTAGCCACCCATCGTGGATGCGGATGGAAAAAGCACGTAAC